TTTGAGAAATACCCAGATAAAGAATACCAGTACATTGCACATCTTCATGATCATTTCATCCGATTTTTGTGAACATGTCCATTGCACACTAAAGAGGCATCAGAAGTTGCCGCATTTTTGTTTTCTGTTTTTACAGTATTTGGACCTCCTTATATTTTATAGAGTGATAATGGATGGGAGTTCACCACACAAATAATTTATGAGCTTCTTAGTTTGTGGAAAGATATTCATATTATTAATGGCCGTCCTTGCTATCCTAAATCACAGGGTTCAGTAGAAAGCTCTAACAAAACTTTAAAAAATATGCTTTCAACCTGGATGGAGGATAACAAGAGAAGAGATTGGAGTATTGGCCTCCCTATAGTTATCTATGCCATGAATATCCGGCATTCTAGGCCTACTAATCATACACCATATGAATTGGTTTTTGGGCAGCACCCATTATGCCATTTTAATATGAAAGAAGCATATTTTTAATATAGAGAAAGATTTGCCCAATATGATTGAAGGTGATGAAGATTCAGAAGATATAAATAATAGCAATTACGACGATTTTAATGACACTGATGATTATAGAGGAAATATAATACTTCAACAACGTGATCACAATTCCGGATATATAGAAGTAAAAAATAATAACAGTCTATTTTATGTCTCAATCCATGATTATGACATGTTTTATGGTGCAAGCAATAATAGAAGTGAGTTTTATGATGCAAGCAATAATGACAGCATGTTTTATGGTCATAGCAATTTTAATGATATGGATCATATAATACCCTTGCAATATGACAATAGTCATGTGCATGTAAATGCATATGAAAATAATGACAATAAAAGACATGATTCAGATATAAGGGCATTGCGTTAGTTCGATTTATTTTTTTGTTTTTTATTCTAAAATTTAATTCTTAATAATTTATAATATTTTAATTCAGTAAATGAATTTTCCGATTCTAATATTGAAGAGCGAAAAAAAACTTATTATATTGATGAAAAGGTAAGTAAATCATGAGCAACAAACTAATTTAATAATATATTCACCAAATGAACCTATATTTTTTTTACTATCATAGATATGCAATAGTGTTAATATTAGTTAGGATAAAGTGTTTGAATCAATTCAAGCATTTGATGATAGTGCTATACCAGAAGATAGGCTTTCATTAATTTCAAGTTCTCGATTTTCGGAATCATGTTCTAATATTATAGAAGACGATCACACAATACAATATTGTGACAGTGAGGTTAATAGTGATAAGCAAACTTATTTTGTTCATTATGGGAATGCTGACATATATAGCACACAAATAATCTCTGAACAAGGTAGCACAATTAATAATCAGGAACAAATAAGAGACAAGGTCTTTAATTGCTGTGTAATTTTTTTTTTATAAAATTTTATTAGTTCTAATTAAATTCTTATTTATAAATAGGAAAACCAGCTTTCAAGTAATTTCATTCTAAACAAAAGGCGTTGTTTCTATGCTCTTCAAAATGTGTCAAATAATTCAACCTATCAACATAATATTTATCATCAAGTCGCTAATAAAAATCTTGAAGATTACCATTCGAAAATGGAAAATCAGATACACAGAAAACATAATATCCAAGAATGTATCTATAAAGTTGGTGACTTGGTGAAAATTCAAATTGCTAAAATTGACTGTGGACCTGGTGATCATTGTGCACTTCCTTGTAAAATATTTTCAGTCTCCCCAATGACAGATATCATCTTGTATGTCGATTTGGCATTTTAAAGAATACATTTCCGGCTGGTGAAGTTGTGCCGCTTGGACTGAAGGAATTTTTAGAATTGGATGATCCACCGACTAATAAAACAATTAGCATCATCAAGCCCGCAAGACTTCAATCCAATTCCTTTGCTAGCGATAAAGAATGTAATTGTAAGGGTGATTGTCTTTCTGCAAGATGTTCTTGTAGAAAAGCGAATGCTTTTTGTGGGAGTGGATATCATCCAAAAAATTCTAAATATAAACATAAAGCTTAAGAGTTGGAGAAACTAAAAATCTAAAATTGGAGATTTTATTTTAATTGACGATTCTCCAGTCAACTGAAGAATGATCATAGTGAAACGTGATGCGGTTTTATATATAAATTACTATA